TTTTAAAAGAACATTTTTCTTTATCCCTTGTATTACACTAGTTCTCTAAATTCAAGCAGTTTTATTTACTTTAAAACAGATGCATATTTATTCAAATAATATACTGGGAGAAAAAATTTTGACCATATGTTCATAAAAATTTTTTTTGAAATATGGTATTTTTAAAAAAGTATATCTCTACGTAGACAGTTTAATGAATTTTCATGAACTGAAAATTCTTATGAAGAGCACCTAAATTACCACTTCCAACCCTAAAATCTCCTTCGGGTTACCATGTCACCCCCTTCTCCACCTTTACACTTCCAATAGTATTAGGCATGCTTTTTTTTTTTTGGTACCTGGGATCGAACTCCGGTCCTTAAACTTTGCAAGGCAGGTGGTGGAACAGCTGAGCTAAATCCCTGGCCCTTATGCATGCTCTTTGACAGCAATTTCACTGATAGGAAATTTTTCCAAGGTAAAAATTAAGTACAAAACTTTAACTCAGTATGTTATTCATATATCTAAGATACATAATTAAATACAATGTGATCCTTCCACAAAATAAAATACTATTCAGCTAAGTATCAATTTAAGCATTAAAATGATTTTGTGGAAAAATATACATTAATATAATATATGGCTGAATTAAGGTAGTCCAGTGACATTTTACATGAACACACTTATGTACCTCTTGAATTTAAAGTGCATCTAGCTTACAGGAATGCTGATAGACATATATATTTTTCTAAAAAAATGACTTTTGGAAATAAAAAAATATAATAAATCAGTAGAGGCGCAAGTACAAGGTTAACCACTGATTCAAACAGCTTGAGAGAATTAGTGAATTGGAAAAGACTTCTAAACAAATTAAGCAGGATATATCACAATGAGACAGAGCTACGAAATATGAAAATTAATAAGACATGGAAGACAGAATGAGAAGATCCAATGTCTGACTCAATGAATTTGATAAAAGATAAAGTGAAATGTGTATTTCAAATGATAGTAGCAGAAAATTTTCCACAACTGCTGTTAAGACTTTATCCTTAATTTTAGGAATTATATTACCTCTTAATCCAAAGGAGAATTCGGAAACTCTTATTACCCTTTAATTAAAACTGTGTTGAGGATATACTCCTAAGTGAAATAAATAAGTCACACATGTATAAATACCAAATAGTTTCTCTGGTGCAAGAAACTATAATGGTACATAAGATCCTAATGATACAATTGACAATGTGAAATAAGAAGAAAGGGGCTAAAAGGTGTAGGGGAAGTGGGAAGGGTAGGGGAAAGCTAATAAGGGAAAAGAAAAAAATATGAGAAAATGAAAATGAAGTGTTTGTAAACAGGGAGGAGGAGAGGGCGAAGGGAGGGCAGGGACAAGGGGAAAAAATGAGAACCAAGACCTGTCATGTAAAGGTACAAGGTCCCAATGATGAATGTAACTGTACTGTATACATAAAATGTACCAATAAACTCAATGAAAGAGAGAAAAAAACCAACAACTGTGTTTCTCATGGAAGGGGTCCATCTCTACCTCCCACACCAAGATGTGGGTAACCAAATGCCCTGGAACTGTTTAGTGAATAGTAAGTCTATCCTACCCTTTGATTTATAATGATGTCTGTCTTTTATCAGTAATGCTGCGAAGATTTCTGGGCTTGCGAATCTGTCCTACTAATTTGTATCATGACAACATCACCCTTATGGGCTGCATAAGTCTTGACAGGTTTTAAAGCAAGTCCCTCAGTACTTTGACTTGGATATTGTTGGGTCTATAAGTTCTGCTTGTAAATTTTAAGTTCAACAAACCACATTTAACAAAAAAATATTAGAATGAAATAACACTGAATTGTAAGCAGATTAAAGGTAAATAGTCATTATATTTACTTAAATTATAAACATTTATTTTGGAAGTCAACCTTTATGTCCTTCAATAAAGTTACACAATGTTCTCCATAAGGTCTTATATAGTTTATTCATTTCATTCTTAGGTATTTTTCCTGATGTTGCTGCTACTGTTTTTAAAAGCTGAATTTTAATTGAGGGGTTAGGAACCTCAGAAAATGTTTAAAACTGGTGATTGTGTGCATTTTTGGCTTGTCCTTTATTAAAGCAAGTTATGATGTTTTTGGTAGTAGAAAGGCTCATTTATTTTTTGCTTGATAACTTTTTAAAAATCATAAATGTGACAGTTTTTATAGAATGATTTTTCTGTAATTATTAAGGATTCTATAATTTAATTTGGAAAATCATGAAAGTTTTTCAAAAGCTTAATTATCCATGTTTCTCTAGTCATTATTTATCATGTTTTTATATTTCACTATATTCAATTTGTTGATACTTATTTAAGAATCTGAGCCTAGGTTTATGGGTTGTAATTTTCTTTTCTTTGCTATCATTGTCTGTTGTTAGTATGAAGTTTATACTAACCTTTCTGTATTTTCAATTTTCTGAAATAGCTTGTGTGAGACAGAAAATATCTGTTGTTTAAAGGTGCATCAAGTTAAAACTATTTGGGGTGGTTTTAGAGATTTATAGGCATAGATACATAGATTACATACATTATTCATGGTTTGAGTGTGTCTCCTAAGGTACATGTATTGAAAAACATAGTTCCTTCTTCAATTAAGAAGCAATGAAGGCACGAGGGATTCCAGGAGTGGCTCCCTAATACGGAATAAACTCTTCTCTCTAATTCCCCTGGAGCCATGAGCTGGTACAGCAAGAACAGCCTTGTAGACAAAGACCCCACATATTTGCTACTTTATTTTTTTTGTACTGGAAATCAAGGCAGCAGCAGAACCACTGAGCTAGATCCCTGGCCCAGACCCCACATGTTTGGACTCTTCAGTCCCAAGGGTTGTAAAAGATAAATCTCTATTTTTTACAAATCATCCATTCTCAAGTATTCAGTAATAACAGAACCAAATGGACCATTAAGAGTACACACTGGACTTACACATTACTATCTAATTTGAATTATGTAACTCAGAAGATGGCAAACTGGCTTAAATGAGTATTGTTAAAAAATTAAGACTTTCTCTGTATGAAATGCAATGAATGAAATGAAAAATGTTAAGCACTAGTAAATAACCACAACAACAAAAAAAGAAGTGCTGTTACTACTACTGGTACTATTACTACTACGAAGACCTTTACTAACTATAAGGTAGGAACAGTAAAATTGGGCCAGAAAAATTTTAATTCTTAAGAAATGTATTTAAAATATGGACTTACACAGATGTGTCATTGCTAATAAAAATTTTCAAAGTGTATACAGTATTTTGTAATAAGAATAGCAGTGAGGTCATCACAAAGAGCAAGACTTTTAAGAACTGCTTATAATATCTTTATTTGAAGCTTGAAAATTTTAATTTGTAGAACAATCATACATAGTGGGTACACACACATACACACACAAACACATTAAAAAGTACGTGGCTTACTTTTGTTTTGGTAAGCTAATGTGAGACACTATCAATCTATAGCAGGCAGAATGCTTTTATGAATGAAAACAGATCTTGTCATTCTATTCCAAATGGGCCTAGCAGTTTTTTGTGGCCCTCAAGAAAGTAAAAATCCTCAATATTGTAGGTTTTCTCATAATCTGGTCCCCATCTAGTTTTTTAGCTTCACCTATCACCATTTTCCCTTGTTCTCTATACTACAAACCATAATATACTACGTGATTTCTATCTTAAAAAACACTGAAATCACAAATGACAATTCACCACAAATATTAAAATTATTAAATATCAAAAATATTTTAACAACTATCATTACTCTTTTCAACCTCAGGTTGGTTACTTATGGACTTGGCTAGGTTATAATCATTTAAATGCTTTATGTCACTTCCCTGACTGGCATACTAGTTGAACTTACACCACATTCTAGAATCAATTCTTCTCGTTCTTTTTTTTTTTTTTTTTGGTGGTATGAGGGACTGACCTTAAGAGTCTTTGTACTAAATACACTCTTATCCCTCTTTATTTTCTATTTAGAGACAGTGTCTTCCTTAGTCTCTAAATTGCTCAAGCTGGGATTGAATTTGTAATTCCCGACTCAGACTCTTGCAGTCCTTGGATTATAGGCATGTACCACCACCCTGGTTCTAGAATAAAATTTAACAGTAATTTTTTATAACTTCAAAGACTTGACACAATTCTTGACTATTTGTTCTTTCATCTGTACAGCAATATTTATTTTTTGTGAAAATAAAAATCTCCCCACACACTTAAAAGGCTATTCTTGTCTTTAAAAATACTCTTTTTGGCTGGGTGTGGTGGTGCAGGCCTGTAACCCCAGCACTCGGGAGTCTGAGGCAGGAGGATTGCTGTGAGTTCAAGCCCAGCCTGGGCTACATAGTGAGTTCCAGGTCAGTTTCAACTACCTAGTGAGACCCTGTCTCAAAAACCAAAAAAAAAAAAAAAAAAAAAAAAAAACAACCTCTTTTTGCTTTCTGTGAAATCATAGTTCTCCTTCAATTAACCTCCACTACATAATCCCAACATTGCCTTTATCATTCAATTCCAACATAACCTTTATCATTCAATTCCAACATAACCTTTATCATTCAAGCTTCTTCTTAAAAATGTTTCTGTATAATTAATATGATTGTATTATACTTATCACACTTACAATGTCTTTTTTTCCAGTTATATTACAAATAACTAGAAGATAAATCTTTTTTTTTTGTGAATCTAAGTACAAAGAACTGAACAGCAAGGGCTTATTTAATGTTTTCAGCTGGCCACTGCAAAAATAATTCTCTCATAAATATCTTTTTACTTGTATTGTGCCATATTTAGTGAAAGGAGATGAGAGCAACTCAAATTTTCTTTTAGAAATAGTTAAAAAAGCAATATGAATTCTAAACTTGCTTTCTCTTTAGTCCATATTACATAAGCAAATTAAAGCAGTATTACTTTATTTCTCCATGAACACAACTTATATATATATATATGTTTAAGCATATTAAAACATAAAATATATCACACACACAAATATCTTACCTTGCTGAGTATTTTGTTCTTGCATTCGATTCACAGTGAGGTCTAAGGGGCCTTCCTGTTCTTCCTGAAGGGAGTTTTCTGCTTGATTCATTTGAATACTTTTACATATGAGACTTGGTCCAATTGAACCATTTCTATTCTCTTGAATTTTACCACTTTTTGAAATGTACTCAATTGCAAACTGACGTATCATCTTTTTCATTAATTCCTGAGCAACTAGGGGAATGTTAGGATCACAGTTCTGAGGAAGATCTAGGGAAGAAATAAATACAATAATCACTAAAAAAGAAAAATGCATAGTACCATTAAACTTTTTAAAAGTTACAAATTAATAATATTAGAAGTCTTTTAGCATCAGTCCACAACTGCCAATGGTTTTTGGAAATTAGCAATAGAAACTTTCCACATTTACTTTTATGATTGCATATGTCCCCAAAGCATGGCATATCCACTCATGTCTTGCAAATAGTCTGTCCCAAACTGAACTAGATTTTAAAAAGTCAAATAAAGAAACAAAACAACTTATTTTCAGAATTTTAATATTCATTCCAATTTATTTTACTAAATATTAAAACATTTAGCATGTAAATATAGCCTGTTTTTTCCAATAATGGGGACTGAACCCAGGGCCTTGCGCATGCTAGGCAAGCACTTTACCCCTGAGTCACATCTCTAGCCCACCACATAATTTGTAATTCAATGTACAAAGTACACATACTGACTAGGAAAACATCTAAACTGCTATAACTTGGTATCAATTAAATTCTTCAATTATGTGAAATGTGCCTTTCATTTAGATCCTGAATGTCATCAAGGATTTTTCGTTTTTCAATTTTTTAAACAGAAAAATTTTGAGCATAAAAAATTCAACAGCACAGTCTCCCTTAAGACTTAAAAATTGTTAATATTCTGTCACATCTGCATTCTTTATGTATTTATTTATAGAGCCACTGAAAGTAAACTATAAAATTAGAAGACTTCACTAGTATTTTGGCATGCATGTCCTAATATTTTCCTGTAAATTGGCATCATTATTACCGAGAGTCTTAATCCTCAATCCCCAAAAATGCTCATCAGTACAACTAAAATGAAATTGGGCAATGGTATATATAATTCTGCCTAAAACTTGTGCAATAGATAAGTTATTGAATCATTTTATTACATGAGATGTGGAGTGATAGATCATTTATAAATACAGTGTTTACTTGTGATAGAGTCTTATTAGGGGCGTGGCTTTATTATGTATATTTCTGGACTCACTTCAATTCCTTTATTTACTCTAACCTTCAGATGCAGAGTCATTGGTAAATTGAGAAGGGTTAACTGGGCATACTTGATTAGGTTTCCCATTTTTTCCCTATAGCAATAGGCCTACTTCAAGAGATACTAATTCTCTGTACCTTAAATAACTAAACTCTTATCCAGGAAGAGCAGTATTTATGTAAATAGGCTTGCCCTGATCCAGGGCTGTCAGAGGTTGAAGAAATAACTCTCCATAGCTTTGGTATTATTATTAGAGTGAATATACTAATTAAATTATCTGAAGTCTTCCCAACTAGCATCTATCATTACAGATCCATGACTAAAAGCAAGAAGGGACTGAAAATGTACCATTTAGAGAAGAAGAACACAAATCTACCCCCTGCATGACCACCTCTATATTTGGTAGCAAAAAGTAACCTAGCCAGTTTAAGTCTATACTGGCCTTGTATAAATGTCAGTAAATCTGATCCACAGGTCACTGTCTCAGATGTGCTTTAGATATATTACCTCTGTCAAAACAAAGAAATTTCACTCCTGATAAACAGAGAGAAGGGACTACAAGTCTATAGGAAAAATAACCTTTTAGCCTTCACTTTTATTCTTTGCTTAGAACCTGGCTGGGAATAAGAACATTGCTTCGTTTGGGCACTGGACTAAAAGACTTATTAGCTGCAGGCTGGAATCTTAAGACATCTTTAAAAACTCAGTCTATTTACGTACATACCGCCACTCATTAATGTAAAAATAACTTGGGAAATTGTAATAAAGCTTACTTACAGGATGCTATAAGCATTATAAAAAACTGCAGCTTAAAACACTCAGTTCTATACCCTGCTTGTTAACACATCAGCAAATGTTAGTTGTTATCACAGAGTATATAAGCGGAAATAATGACAAGCAAAAATATGCAGACTGAGTAATTATATTTTATTAGAATAACAAAATGACAAGTATTAACTATATCGATAATGGAAAATAAAAGAATCAAACCCTGTAAGCCATTTTGAGTTTTTGGTAGGCTCAGAATAAATAGTATTATTATAGTGCCCTAACTAAAGCGAAATACTAAAATAAGTTTCCATGTTATACACAGGAATTCCAAATATGAAGTATGATACAAAAAATGATTTATATTTAAAGTTATCATTAAAAATATGCTGCCATTAATAACCCTTAAAATACTCATTTGAACACATGTATCACATTGTTCCTGTGATTTCTTTTTGTGAGTGTCTTTAGCTGCAGTGTCCTGGCAGTTCTATGCCTTGAATCAATCAAAATGTTTATCTTTCATGGTGCTTTTGTCTTTGGGGAAGAGCCAGAAGCCATATGGTGCCAGAAGTGAGAAGGTGGATGAGGACACACCATATTTTTTACAAGTGTAATGGATGGCACCTGACACAACATTCACCATATTTTTTTATCATAACTGCTTCAGAAAGTGTAAACAGCTATACAACCAGGGTGTTTGAAGCGAGGGAGAATAATCTGAGGGGAATTAATGGCAACATGTCTTATACCATAATTAAAAAAAAATTAAACACCATATTATTATCAGACCTTGTGTACTATTTCTTACCCTCAGGAATCTTCAAAGCCTTCTATGACTATTTTTTCATCTCTTTTCAACTGAATCCTGCTTTGCATTATGTTTTTAAAAGAAATGAAGCCTTTATTTTTAAGCATTTGTTTAACTGTCCTGTCTTTTTTGACTGACAGCATTTCATTAGTTAAAAGTGACTAAATTTGCCAGAAAAAGAACAGAGATCTGATTAAATCTTATTAATCACCTTATGGCTAGAGCTATAGTTTAAGATTGAGTGTAAAGCTATGTTAAGCTCTGTTCTATTCACCCATTCACTGTTGGTATCCTTGATGCTATACTTTGGCATTTTAAAAAGAAAAAGAAAAAGGAGACAAAGGCAATGTTGCTCAGCTGCTGATTAGTTAGAATGGATCACTTGTAAAAACTGTCATAAGTATAATACAAGCAAATGAAAACTAAAGGTCATAAAGTTTAGGTTAGAAAAAATTAGGCTACAAAATGATATAGGTAAAAAATTTTTAATTTTATAAGGTTGGGCAAGTAGCATAAAGGGACAATGTGACTATTCCCATATACTTGCCATTTTATATAAGGGACTTGACAGCATCCACAGATTTTATTACCCGGGCAGGTGTGCAAGTGAGTGTTTAAGAAGTAATGACTATGGAAACTGAGGGAAAAATGTTTTCTGTCTAGGAAAGAAAGAATGTTACCACGTGGAAGTGGGTCATTGCCCCAAAGAAGACAGATTTAGTTATTTTTGCCTATTTTTCCTTTTTCAAAGTCGATTTATTTAAAAAGTTTAATTAGTGTGACAGCCAGCTTCAGGATGGCCTTCAATAACTCCTGTGCCTTCTAGTATGAGACAGCTGTGCAGTCCATTCCCTGATATATCATGGGTGATAGATTGGAAGTATATGTTACTTTTAGAGACTAGATAAAATGATTGAGATTCCCATCACAGATACTGCTGAACACTAGTACTCTTAGTCATTTATATTTTGTCCCCCAGACCTTTCTCAAATTTCTTTTTCTACCCTTTACTCTCCTGTCCCTGCATCACCCTCCTCACTTGCTTGAGGAAGGGGTAACTGTGAGGAGCCCCACAGGCAGGTTCACACAGAAAGGTACCGAACTCTCCTGATAGCAGCCAAACCAGTGAAGCTGGAAATTGAAATTTAGAAGAAGATTTAAATCTCATCTAATCCCTGGACTGCAATCTTCCTTCTGAGAAAAGGAACCAAAGCTATCCAGAAAATATAAGATAATAAGTGTTTGTTTTAAACTGCTGTATTTTAGAGGTAATTTATAACATAGCAGTGAGTAAATAAAACAGATTTTGATACATGTTTGTGTGAAGCTGCTGTAATAAAAACCTCAAACACAGGTGTGGTTTGAATCATGCAGTGGGCTTTGGGAATAGTATTAATGAAAGCCTAAAGTAACTTGAGAAAGATGTAAATAGAACATACTCTTTAAGAAAGCAGCAGAGTGAAAACTGGTGGAAAAATATTAGAAACTGGAGGGGAAAATACATGATTATACGACGGCAAAAGTTTTACAACACTGTTTTATGTAGTAGTTGGAAAAGCAGAAAATGTGCTTAATGAATTGGGTGATCTTCCTAGGAAATTTTCAAAATATGAAAGCTGCTCGTTGGTTTCTTATTGCTAATTACAATAAAATGCAAAAAGAGATAAAAACTAAAGGAAGAATGTTTAAAAATATAGTAGGCCTTAGTTGTTTCAAAAATCCAGTCTATATAGAAAAAAAAGTTTATTTACAAAAGACCAAAATAGACAAAGATCTAAGAAAATATCCTTCAAAATGCTGGTTTATTTTCTTCAAATTTGACGCTATTAATGTTTTAGGTCTTTTGTGATTTGTTGATTTTTATTTGTTCATTTGGTCTTTTCTTGGTAGAGAGGAGAGTGTTTTTCCATTAAACTGAAGAACTGTGGGAATTAACCAAAGACTTAAACATTCAATGTTGACTCACAAAAAATCAGCGGAGTCTCAGAACAGCAAGCTACATGATATTTCAAAAATCTGTCTATCTCCATTCTCCCTTCCCAACACACAGAACTCTACAAAAAAGCTAGAGCTTTATGGTTCTGGAAAAGCAAGGAAATCTCTGTTCAATCACTAACTACTAAGTTATCTAACAGAGAAGTCAGTGGGGCAAACAATACAAAGAATGCCACCTTCATGGAATCACTTCTGGAAAGTAAATAAACATCAACAACAAACCTTGGTTGTGGAAGATAATCTCATTTTCACAGTTGTTACACTATACTACTTGAAATATTCAGGCTTTAGAAAAAAGATTCAGATTTAAGAAAAATTTCTTGGTCATGCAAAAAAACAATTTTGGCCTCACCGAAGGGGAGAATAGTCAATGAGAATTGTCTCTGAGGAAGCTCATATATTGGACTTAGTAGAC